ATCTCCTCTTTGCAAAGCACTTCCAAGGAAGAAAGAGATAATTCTTCACGGCATTGTTATACCAGTGTGAAGCCAAATTAAGCTGAAGGCAAACCAGTCTGGCTTGATTTCGGCACCTAAACAGGCCTGGATCTGGCTAGTACCTGGATAGGAAGCTTCCTGAGAGGTTTTGGCCATCAGCAGAAGCCACAGAATTCTGATCAGTTAAAGGGAAAACAGCTAAATGCCAAATAGTTGGTGGGACCTGGGGTGTGTGTTTGTCACAGATAAACCCTGCAGCAGAGAGCTAGTGAGAGTTAGAAATGTCCTGGATGAAATAAGAAATAGATCCAGACTTTTGTCCCAAAGGAAAATAGGGCTTAGAAACTGTGGAGAAGCCATTCTGACCCCATCATTATTGCTGAGGTGATGGAAGGGAATAAGAAGAAACAGATCATAGTGCATGAGCAAGGCACCACTGTTTTGCTGTTTACTGTAAATGAGTTCTTGGACATTTTGCTCTGAAGCTGGAATAAACCATAACCAAGCAGATAATTTCAGAGCCTGCACATTGAGTAAGGGGTAGAGAAATGATGCAAGTCAGTTGAAATATGAAATCCAGACCTTCTAGCTGCTGCTGTCACGTCCCCCAAACAGCAAACAAAAAAAGACACACTGCACATGCCTCCCCTAAACATACAAAACCAAATTTGCTTGAAAGCACAAACACAGACAGAAACTTTAGTAAGTTTGTGAAGTCTTGCATGCAGAAAACACTGCAATGTGATGAACTGCAGACTCTCCTGTAAATCTCTGAACACCCTCTCTGCAGGACATTGCACCCTTTCAACTCTAAACCAGTTTGGACTTCACCTTTTTATTTTCTTTACTCCAGGAACCTTCTGTATCTGTTCCATAAAATGCAGGAGGACCCCAAACCCACCGTGAAGTGTTTCTTGGTAGAGACAGCACTGGGCCTGGGTAGCACACTGCGTGCATCTTTGCATGCCTTCCTTTATGGATCTTCCTCTGTCCTTTGAGAGGAATGTGGGAGCAATGGAGCATCTAAGCATCACTAACAGAGTGCAACTAGAGTAGCAGAAGAGGCCTTTCCTTTTAAAAAATGTTACTCCCTGTACAACCTAGTGGGACCTTGGGGCTGCGTTTATCACAGGTTAACCCTGCCAGCTGCAGTGAGAGTTGTCTAGTGAGAGCTAGAGATATTGTGGATAAAATAAGAAATGGCTCCAAACTTTTGCCCCAAACCACAAAACAGAC